TGACCCGGATGGTCGGACTGTTTGGCCCAGAAACTGTCCAAGCAACCGGTTCCGTTTCACCCCTAACCCGTTCTTGGGCAAAAACCGTTGATTTTGTCAGAAAACCATTGACCCAGATAGCGGTTCGCGGTTTAAAAAATTGTAGAGAGGGGAGAAACTCTGAGTCAAAGACACGAACTCAGATCTGATATCTAGAGAGAGAGAAGAAGAAGAAGAAGAAAATGTTGCAGAAATCTGAGAAAAAGTTTCATTGTTTTGAGATTAGAGATCTGAGAAAAAAATGAAAAATCAATCTCAGATTTGAGATCCGAGAACTCGTATCTTAGATCTCAGATCTATCATCTGCGCTGTTACCGCCGTCACCATCTCGTCGTCGCCGTCGCCGGTGAACATCAAATCATTATCCTCCTCTTCCTTCTTCTTCCCTCCTTCCCTCTTTCATTCCTTCCTTTTCTCTCTCCTTTTCTTTTTTTTTTCTTTCTCCTTCATTTCTTTTCTTATTTTCTTCTTTCTCAGCCGACAAACGACTCTCTTCTCCACTTCTCTCTCATATATAAGTGTATAACTATTTACTATTTTGCCCTAATGCAAACCGTCCGAACCGTTCGACCCAGATGGTCGAACCGCTGACCCAGAAACCGGTAGCTAGAACGGTTCCATTTCCGGGTCAGTTTTTAAAACTTTAGTCCTACATGACATATATTGAGGGTGGGCCTTGGCATAATGGTTGGGTTGCTTCATTGTTACTTAGATGACCAAAGGTTCAAATCTTGGAAACAGCTTCTCTATATTTATAGGGGTAAGGTTGTGAAGATGTATCCCTTCCCAGGCCCTTAATTGTGACGGGAGGGGCTGCCATTTTTAATTAATCTACATGACATATCAGTTATGGRCCTCAAAGCTTGGGCTTCGGTGGTTCAAAATCCTACAATCAAAATGCTATGTAAAATAAGAAGAGCCCAGCAGAGGCAGAGCCAGAACAGAACATGGCTAAATTAGCCTAAGCGGAGCCTGAGCTCATTCCAAGTCAAGAACCCTTATTTTCAGAAAAGCTTGGGAGTTGGGATGCACCAAGCCAAGCGAGACCTCAAATACCAAGATTTGACTCTGAGTATATTAAAGGCTTAAAGCATCCCACTTAAACACAGGCACATGCCGATCATGTTCACAAGATTTGACTCTAAGTTTAGGGATGTAAACGGCATCTGTCTCAGTGATGGTGATTCCCAATCTGTCTTCTTAACATAGTACTCTAACTTTCACATTACGTTTCAGACTTGGATGATGATGACCCAAATTGTTTGATGGCAACATATAATGGGACATCTAGTCAWCCACTAATTCATGTGCCTGTACCTGTAGGATCTTCTGTGACAATTTGCTTCTGAGCTTCTGAATTTCTCTATAGGTAAGATTTCCTTTTCTTTTTGTTTATTCTCTTTAGGTGCATGAGACCATAACCTTGGTTCCTTAGATTTCCTTTCACATGGAAAGTCTGGCTTCTCCCATTTTCTTATGGGGACTGGCACTTGATCAAGTGTAAGGGTTTTGGCGTTTACATGGACTAGTGGTTTCTATTATTACTGTTATTCCAATTGCCCATGCTTTTCAAACTTTTGGTGAGCACCAGAAAAGTCACCAATTTAGTTGATTGATGACAAAATCGTCCAACCTTTACTTTGACAGATGGTTAAGCTTGGTTTAACCAACAGAGTACTCTTATGTATCTGCCTGCTATTACAAATTCATCTTCTGGGTAATGAGGTTCCCACTCCCAATCTTAATTTACATGAATATGTTGATTCGGTTTGGTTCTGGTTATTCTTATTCCCTTTTCATTACATTGTTTTCTATGGAATACAGTCTTCTGTTTATATTGTATTATTGACATACACCCCCACTGCGTTTAAATGTTGCAGACAGAAGAATTAGAGCACTGATTTTGTCCACATTAATAGTATGTTTTCTGCAATATGTAATAATGTCAGCAGACCTTGGGCCATTCTAAAAAACTAATCATGCATTTTCTGGCCTTTTTGTTAGTATCCTTGAAGGCATTGAATTCCAGCATTTGAGGTGCAGATGCCATAGTTAATATTGACATAGGAATTTTCCATTTTTTCCCTTTAAATCTTAAACGTGATATATATATATATATTCACGAACAACCATGGACAATAACCTAATCTAGGCCCAGGAATATCATTAGTTCAGAACAGATCTAGGAAGCTGTTAGGACAACATATATATGAAGTCTCAGTATCTGTATTCAGTGAATCAGTGAGAAATGAACTCCATGTTCATGAAACTTTTTTGGTCTTAGACTAACATACATACAATTCTAAAAGTCATAGTTTGTTCATGTTTTCTTTGCTTTTAATGACTGATATAGCATCCATTAATGGAACATACATTGAGCTTCCGCTTCCCAAATTTGAAGCCTAAGAAGGTGTCATCTGCACCTCAAGTTAAAATAAAAAGTACTTTTTCATTACACTAAAGGAAAGTGCCATCATTTTATATTATTATTATTATTATTATTTTATTTTATTTTTTTTTTGCAGGATTTTGGTATACTTAAAATTTCCAGTCCCTCGTTCCTCCACCTAAACTTCAAACTCAGCCATTTAAACTTGAAGATTTCCACATTGGAGCATGTAACTAGTAGCTCTCTATTGGGGATATATGATATCCTTCCTGGGGCAGTTTTTCTTTCTGCAAAACATGGTGTGGAGGGGCTTCATGTTGAGACTCTGTATGTTCCTCTGAAAGAACAGATGAAAACAGCTTAGAGGATGATTAGGGTTGTCAATGGACCGGATTTGGATTGGACCCATCCGATCCATACCCAATTCAAACGGACTGGACGGTCAAATGAGACATAATGGAGTTGCCTGGTCCAGACTTAAAGACGTCCATGCCTTTATCGGATCGGTGTTGGCATAAACCAATTGTCCAACAATCCGTCCGACGTACAGACTGTTCAACCAAAGCCAATCCAAGATTTTGGTAAAATACGTCTGCATTCTGGAATTTCCAACGGCAAAACCAGAGTCCATCGGATCAGATCGGGTGGCAATTTTTTTTCTATATTTTTTCTCTGTTTTCTTTCAAGCCTTGAGTTTCTTTATGTGAAAATAGTTCAGTTTGGCTCTATCATATTTTCTGTTTTTTTTTGAAAGACATCGTATCTTCGTAATGTTACTGTTTTTCATAATTAATAGAGAACGTTTTTTTTGAATTGATCTAGTGATTCCAAATAAGTGTGTCAATTGGACCGAATATGGTCCAATGCGACCCAATATAAGTAGGGATGCAAACAGATTAGATTATATTTGAATCAGGGTATATCTGAATCTGACCCGATAGCATATATTCGAGATTTGATCCCATCCAAAGATCTGATCCAATCTCACAAATGGTGATTTGAATCTGAATATATATATATATATATATATATATGACGTGATCCTATTCAAATTATGAAAAAAAAATTTATAAAAGAAAAAAACATAAAAAATTATACAAAGAAAAACAAAAAATATAAGTTTTTTTTTCAATTATTTTCATAATATATATATATATATTAATGTATACATGTCTTTTTATAAAAATGCAATATAAATATATTAATAGATGCATGTCCTTTTATAAGTAAATATGTTTATAAGCATATACATATATAGGTCAGATTGGATTGGATAGGGATTATCTGAAAATTTGACAGAGGGTTATCTGAATCCGACAAAAATTGGATCGAAAAATATGATCAGATTCAGATCAGTTCGGATCATGATCCGATCCATTTGCACCCCTAAATATGAGTCTGGTATAGATGGACCAGGTCCAAACTAATTCAATGAATACTTTTGACCATTTTGGACCAATCAAATTTAATTTCTAGACCGTCCAATGTGTTCAAATTGGTTTTAATTTAGATTGATTCCAATCCATAACCGGTCCATTAACACCTGCATTCTTTTATTCTATTATGGACTGAATATTGATTGGTTCAATCCGATCCAATCCAATATAAATCTATTATGGATGAACCAGGTCCAATCCAATCCAATAAATACTTTGGACCATTAAGTCTGGACTGGTCCAATTTAATGTCTTATTGGTCCATCCAGTCCATCCAAATTAATTTTGATTTAGACGGGTCCAACCCAAAATCGGTCCATTCACACCCATAGTTCCAAAAAATCAAATTGAACCACACCTCATTCGATTAATTTCTTTTAATTTAGGCTAGGTTTTCATTTTAACCCATGGTTCCAAGAAAAACTAAATGGACTTTATGTGATTTATTTCTGTAGTTTTTTTTTTTATATATTTTTTGGATTTATTTTATAATTTTTTTAATGTTTCATACTTTCATTCAATTTGGATCGGATTGGGCCCCATCCGGTCCACTTGCATTTCAGTTGAATTGTTTTGGATCTAATTTATATGGATTTGGACAAGGATGACTTATTGACTTCCTCTAAACAAGTACTTGACAAAGATTCTTTTGTTTTTGTGTCATTTATATAAATGTAAAGGCAATCTTGCTTTAGAGGAAATGACCATGAACAAGCGTGTCCGTATGCGTGTATGCCATAAGCATAAAGGGGTCAGGACCCACACCCACATCAATCCAAAATGTTTTGACAATCATAAATCATAATCAACCAGTGTGGGAAATTCCATCTCTGCGTACCATCAATAATCAATTTGGTTATAATTATGTTGATGGTTCATCCTTGAAAACCTTGTTGTGGTAGAACAAACCCAAGACAGAAAACAATTGAATACAAACAGAGATTCAAGAAGAATACATGTCGATTTACGTGGTTCGGAGATGAAATTTATATTATGAAAAGGGCAATGGAGATACAATGTTGTATAAAAACACTCTTAAAAACCCTAAAGCCCAATACATCCAAACTCTCACTCTCATTCACAATAATTAATTGCTCTGTTTCTTCTTGCAAACTAAGGATGCATAAAAGAAAAAAGTCCCAAAACGTTGCAAAACAACAAACCTCGTTGAGGTTAATTAGGATTCGTCAACAACTTTGCTGCAATTTTTATTTTGAACAAAGGTACAAATTATACATATGTAGTTGTATTCAAAGACTAAATTCTTCTTATTTGCATACATAGTTTATTTTATATATAAATATTTTCTATGTACAAATGGAAAAACTGAGTAGTGGGTGTCGAAGAGAGTAGAAACCCACCGCCACCATGGATGTGATGCTTGTAAGTCTCCTCTATGCTATGGATGATGATCTTGTTTCTAATTTTTGTTCTTTCCCAAGCCACAACTGGCTATAATATATAATTAATGTATATGTACAGACCACCAAATTAAATATTCAGATCAGTAAGATGTAATTAATCTACTGATCAGAAGGGAAACCTGCTAGATGAGCCAGCTCTTCCACCTCTTGAGCCAATTTTTCAACCTTGTCCACCATCTCCATCAACACATATACAAAGCTTGCCATTGCAAGTCCATCACAATTTTCTAGCACCAGCCTGGAGGGAGACGAGGCCACACTCAGCTCTAGTCTCATCAACTGTAGCTTTGCCACTAATAGCACTTTAGGCGAACACCTCTTCATCCCCTTGATGCTATCCCCGAGCTCCCTCAGCGTGCAAATCAGCGACAACGCCACTGCTTCACATGGCTCCTTTATAGTCATCCTCACCGCCACCGACTGTGGCTGAAATCCACAAAAACATAATTTGGATGAAGTAAGCCCCTGTGTTTAATTAATTATCTATTCTTTAGCCCATGTTCACTTTTCCATAAGTTATTTAATTATCCAGATAAATACATTTACCCGATAAATCTTTCTCAAGATACCAAGAAATACATTTATCCATGTTATTTTATTTCTCATATAATATAAATAAGATACTGATTATTTTAATTATAAAAATTTATTATTAAAAAGATACTTTTGTCTCATTCAAATGTTAATACTTTTCTCCTTAAGTTGAAAAGTTATTTACCCATTTAAAATATGGATAAAAAAAACTTTCCAAGATCCCTACATAAATGATAAATATGATAAAAAAAATGTAGATTTTTAATCTATAAAAATCAAAATCCCATTGATTAATTTTTTCTTTTCAAAATCTAAAAATTGATTATATTAATTAACTTTCCCCTCTCAAAAAAAAAAAATAAAAATAAAAACCGTCCACTTACTGTTAAAATCCCAAAACCCAAAACACAAGTGAAGTCACATGGGACGTGGGAGTCGATCAGGTCAATTTACCAACTTTCTTTCCCTTTTCCTATAAAGTTGTTACTCAAAAAAACATAGTGAAGCGGATGGTTATTATTCCAGAAATATCAGAAAAATGTGATATGTTTTAGTGCTTATGATCATTGGCCTGGCCACCTGGGAATCTTCCAACTGGAAACCACAGAACGCTTGGATTCTGTCCCTCCCCAGACCATTGTCTGTTACATCATACATGCACATAGACAAGGCTAAAAGCAATTTTTTTTTTTATCAAAATTTCACTCTTTCATGGATATATGAATCCCAAGTGACCGATACGCACTACCATAGCCACGTGGCTATTATGTGTCGGTCGTTTGGCGTTAAGGAATACCATAAAATCGATAGCATTGACAAGTAAAATCGATTCCGGTTTCCCACCCGCACAAAAAGAAAACGGAAAACAATTTCTTAGATTTTTCATCTAAACCTTAGCTTTTTTATTTTTGATAATACGAGTAGTCGAGTAAAACCCACAAACTTTATTAGGGAAATGATCACCTTCATACCTGTCTATGAGATTGAAGACAACCTTTTAGGGAAATGATGGAAGCAGCCAACTCTCTAAGCGAATCACCAATTTGTAGATACTTGTACCAAGGATGAGAGAACCCAAATTTTCCATGCCATGGTTCCCATCTTGCGAAATTTGCCTGAAGCAAAGAGCAAAACGTTCACTTGTCATTCCTTTGTTTATCGGTAGATAGATTCTGTTAAAAAATAATGCCTCTATTATATGACATTAATTAATTTCTATTGAAAGGAAAAGGACCCACTCACTTCACAAAAAACTTTTGAAATTCAATTATTTACTAACAACAGAGGAGATCGAACTTGGAAGGAATATAATTAAACTATATACCAGTGACTCGTCCTTGATCTTGGAGTAGAGCACTGATGTGCAACCAATGAAACTGGTAGTGCTCTGGTTTTCCTTCTTTTCCGTACCCATCTCTTTGAAGTATTCCTCCAAGCTTCCTGCAATAAAGTAAGTAGTGAATGATTGAGTATTGTGGATGGTGGTTGGAGTTTTTTTTTTTTTTTTTTTTTTTGTAAAATATGAAAAGAAGAGGTAGAAACTTTCCCTTCCATATTGGATGAAGCCCGGTCGTATTAATATATTTTTATGGTTTTATTGGCAGCTTTGAAGGAAACTCACCTTCAATGAAAGAGGCGAGATTGTTAAATTTGGAGGCTGTGGAGTAATGAAGTTCATCGCTAGCCCACATGGGGAAGATGAATAAGCTTGTGAACAAGCAGACAGCAAAACCCATGGCAATTGTCGAGAGACGTTCACGGGCTATCTCAATCACTGCCTCAGCACGCAGACCGGAGACTGCGACCAGATTGAATGTGAGGATAAAGATCATGACCCCGTAATCATATCTTTTCTTAACGCTTGGAATTAATCGACTGTATGTTGCAGCTGCGCCTGTATAAGATTATCCGTGTCGTCAATGGAAGCAGAAGAAGACGCAGAAGCAGAAACAGAAGAAGAGTTGATGACATGCAGTAGAAGAGATACCGAAGATAAAAACAGATATTCCAACAGTAATGGCCTTTCCAATCCCCCCAACTTCATGAGCTAAGATCGCTGCTAAACACCCAAAACCACCACCTAAAATAGTCCCGACTCCACGATTCAAGCCCTTGCTAAGCATAGCACCTGACAGACGTTACCAAAAACTGATCATCAAACAGTTTGTAACAAAATACAGAAATGCATATAAAATGGCTTAAACAGCAGAAGCTCTAGGTCTTGGACTGATCCATGAGCGAAATCAAGCAATAAGTTTTAACAACCTGTATAGAACTCAAAGATGACAACTACAGTCATGATAGCCCACATGGCATTTTCTCCCACTTGCTTGTAAAGAGGATTGAGCAGATAGAGGAGTGAAACCAACACCAGCGCTATTCCAACCTTGACACTGTGAATCAGCTTTTTATAGCCATGGATGCTTTTCTTTCCTCCAAGACAGGGAAGCAGAGAAAGAAGAAAGGATTGGAACCTCTTCTTCTTTTCAGTGGAAGCTCCATCTTCATTTGGAATAGATATTACAGTTGAGTTCATGGCAGACATTCTTGCTCCTTATCTTTGTATGAACTCTGGCTTGCTTGTTTGTTTGATAAGTTGAAGTGGATGGAAAACCCAGTATATATAGTTATATACACACACCCCAATCCCATGAGATGTGATGTAGCTCTGCACCAAATTCTCGAGTTTGTTTATTAATTTGTTTTTTTTTTTTCCCTCTCATCTCTGAGAAGAAACCAAATTAATTGATTTCGCTGAGAAAATGCAAGGCACAGATGAAATGAAAATTATATTAATAGGCGTAAATATCTCATGTACCGATGTACGGACTATGAATGTGTAGTTGTGAGCACCGTGGCCCATGTGTTCTAACAAAACAATAAAAAAGGCCCAGGTGGAAGACATAGGTCCACCACGAGCGTACGTGGTCTTTCGAACATGTGCAGAATGATTTTGACCAAAAAATAAAAAATAAAATATTGAGATAATGGGGCCTGGTCCAATGTTTAATTTCAACCCACTACGGCCCAGGGGCTAGATGATGACCTTGTGGCTTGTGCTTCCGCAATGTAGTTTCGGCCCACATACATATTGTCATMGGAAGAGGATAACCTGGACTGACCAATCCCACCAGGTTGCTTACACGCTTTTTGCCATCAACTCTTGTTGTTTTCATGACTCCTTGATCTGATCATATCTTTAACATGAATTAATTGTTGAAATTAGGTCTGTTAATGGATTCTGAAAGTTTGAAACCCCATCTGACATCCACTCTATTCATATTTAGGGTTTAATTACGATGCATTTTTTGACATTGGATGTACGTTAAATCGAATGAGAAACTTGGTGTTTTCATGTCTCTTTGATCATATCTTTACCATGAGTTTGTTGTTGAAATAAGGGATGCCAGTGGGTTTTAAAAGTTCGAAACCCTATTAGACATCCAATCAATTAAAAACTTAGAGTTCAGCCAGAGTGCATTCATTTTGATATTGGCTGCATGTTAAATCCAATAAGCAATTTGGATGTTTTCATGACTATATCTTTAACATGAGTTTTTTGTTGAAATTAGTTCTTTCAATGGATTCCAAGAGTTCAAAACCTATCTAACATCTAATTTGTTAAATTTCATCTATTAATATTAGTTGCACGTTAAATCTAAATTTTAATCAATTATGTTAAAGACGTCTTAATTTTCATTGGAGCATGTTTCATGTACTTTTACTTTTCACATTTAACAAAGTGTACTTTGATGTTTAATGAGGCGTSAATGTTTTTTCTTTTGTTATTTTCATTTAGCTAATAATGATAGACAGCCCATCCCTCAACACAAAACCCCCAACCTTGGAGCAGGTGGGATCCCAAGCCTCTTATTACAACCAGCAAGAGGTCTTATGAATTTATTAGTCCACATCTTTTGTTGCATGGTGGTCTTGGCACAACGATTGGATTGCTCCATAGCAATTAGGGCGATCAGGGATCAAATCTTGCAAACAACCTCTCTGTATGTATAAGGGTAAGTCTGTGTATATCTATCTATTCCTCCCCATGCCCTACATTGGTAAGAGCCTCATGCACTAGGTTGTCCTTATCTTTTCTTTCATGATGTAGCCGATGCACCATACATTTTTCCCAAAATTTACTATATATAATTATGCAAAATTTATAATTAATAAATTAAATGTTTTCATATTTATATAAATTTATTATATATATATGTTAAAAAATAATTATTTTTTAAATTAAAAAAAACTTTTAATGACAATAAAGTGTATAATCTGAATCTAAACAGATTACAACCCTAACCGGGCATTCATGTGAGATTCGAATATGTATGCATGCATGTATGTGCATATTCAACATGTAGCATGGTATGCATCAATATATTTATACATCAACTTTCTAGGTTTTTCATTTACGGGATGGTATTACTCGTGATAAGGTTAATAAAAAAAAAAAGGAGGCGCAAAGAGGAGATCTTGGTTGTCCACTTCTAATTGCCTCCAACCACTCCATGGAAAGGTCAAGTATAAAAGGGGGTGCTCAGCTTCATCAAGGTAAATCTATCTAGTCCATTCTTGCTCTCTAGAATGATATCGTCTGAGCCATCGTCTGAAGCCTAGTTCGACCCCTTTCAAGCACTTGATTAACTTGATTGTTGGAGTTTCTGCCCCTGAAATAACACTCAGGGCCTCTCTCTCTCTCTCCTTGTTCTTAGACTGAACACATCGGCCTTGGTTAAAAACAAAATTACCTTATTACCCTCGGCCCCATCCTAGGCAACAGCATATATATGTTGGGAGAAATATAAGTGGAATAAGATAAGTGGTTGGGCCATTTATTTATTTGTACATGCATATAATTAGTTGACGCAAAAAGAAGAAATGACAGAACCACTCACTCCAAGTGCGGTTACGCTTTGGGCCACCAATTGCTGTCGATTTATCCAAAATTCTGAATGAACACCAAACTATTCAACTCTTTTTTCTTTCTAAATTCTTTGCTATTTTCTTATTCTTGATTGATCATCATATCATGATATAAAGAGGGATGGACCGAAAAAAATCTTATAACCAATGGGGTTATGATTGATCGAAGATTTCCCATATCATGTATGTCTTTCTCACATCATACATTTTTTCTATAAAAAATATATATATATATATATATATATATATATATAACGGTGAAAACAGAACTGATATCTCTATGAAATCGACAATTCGATGTCAATACATCGCTAATCCATCCGCATGCTCATGTAGGTCGAAGCAAGTAAATTGGTTTACGTAATTGACCAAGCTTGGTCATATGGAGAGTGGGTTCGGGTTCCATCTGGGTTGGAAGCCAATTAGAAAACCACAAGTTGAAATTAACTTTATAGGTATATTATATATAGAAACCAAAAAATAAAGAAGGTTGAAAGCTGAAATTAATAAACCAACCTTATACCTAACATAAGATCGAACCTAGTGGAATTAAACCAAAATAAAACCACGTTACTCAAAGCTGGGTTCGACAAGTCAGTCCTCAGTTGACACAGTATTTGTTAGAGCCGGCACCAGATATCATTTCTAATAAAATACTTTCGAAAGTGCTTTATATCCCACATACGTGGTAGGTATTATTACATGATAAAGTACTTCCACCCCAAAAATAAAATGGTAGAAGTATTTTCTCTTTTGACGTGTTTATTTTATAAACCATTGATTCAGAATTTCACAAAACTCAGACAATGGTTAATGGCAGAGTGTTGGGGACGAGAAAATGAGAAATTGGGAGGAGAGAGAAAGCAATAGGCACTAGTGTCAAATGATAAGATGGAAGGAAGTTTCCAGATACAGTCACGTTCCGTGGCACGGAAAGTTTTTCGTACGGATTTAAGAATTTGAGGTGGGGGTGGGTGGGGGAAGTTGTGCTACAGCCTACAGCCTACAGCCTCAGCCTCAGCCTCCAGATGAGTGGACGTGAGGTGGGCCGTGGGCCGTGGGCCACATTTTTTTGGTTGTCTTTAGTTGACGCTTCGTCATTCAATTCATTCCCCTGACCCAACCCAACACCACCACCACCATGCCCCAATCCAAACTCCTGCTCCAATTAAAAAAATGCGTCATTACTTGGCATAAAACAGATCTCCCTGGGTCAACGTCACACTGCTGCTGGTTACACCATGGCCACTAAGCCTATTATTGGCTTGTTTGGTTTGAAGAAAAAGTAGGAAAAGGTAAGGAAACGTTTACAAACTTTGAAGTTTTCCTACCCTAAGTTTTTTTTTTTTTTTTTACTTTTTAGGTGCTCATGCCATTTCATCTTCCTCTTAAAATCCTAATTGGAAAGGGGGCTATTTCATTCCAATTCCATCTCCGGTTCAACCCCAACAAGTCCAACCGGTTTTTAGTTTGTTTTTTGTAAGTAGAATCATCATGATCATCATCACCCATGCCTTATCCCCAAGGCTCAAAATTTCATCACGTATAAGTTAATACATATTGGTGACATAGTAAAGTATGATATTTTGGGCTTTTGACCTATTTCAGGGATAGACAGGCCTAATAACTACCCCCTTTGACATGTTTTTGAAGAAAAACAAAAAAAAAGGAAAAAAAAAGATGGCTGCAAGGTTTATAGTGTCAATACACTTATTGCGTTGTATCAAGGTGTGTCGATACTTAAACCTTGTTCAATTATATGGGATTGGCTATATGAATCCTGTTTCACCGATCTATTTATTTAAAGCCATATCCATTATTAAATTGTTAGTGCTTAAATCATTTCTTAATATTTTTTCCCATGTCATTTTTGGTCTACTTTGTGCTGTCAATGGGTCGGATCTGGGTTGGGACTAGTAGGGATGCAAACAGRTTGGATAGGAATCTCATTCATATGGATTTGAATTCGAATCCAATAAAGAATTCGGATATTTGGATTTGATCCGATCTGATTTAATTTTCTTAACAGATTAATAAATTATTTAAAGAAAAATAAAATATAACAATTTAAATAAAAAACATAAAATACAAGTATCTTTTCAACTATTTTCGTCATATATATACATGCTTTTTATAAAAAAAATAAATGATATAACAAATTTATAAAAATACAATATAAATAATATATTTATAAATAAATAAATAACATATATATATTATATAATTTATTTAATGTATTATACATTATATATATATATATATATATATATTGTATATAGCTCGAGTTGGGTTTGAATCGGTTCGGGACTGGGTGGAATCGATTCCAAACTGATAATAATCGAGACACTATATCAGGACCCAAAATTGACCTGTCAATTTCAGTTCTTGGAACCAAAACCGGCTCAATTGGTTTAGGTTCATCAGGTCGGACCTGCCCCATCGATAATCCTATGTCTACCTCAAATTCTTCTGGCCTTTTAACTTCTAACAAATCAATTCTTTCAATTGAAATTGTTGGTGATCTTCTATGCATGTGACCAAACCATCTGATTCTCAAACATGTCTAACTTTTTTTTTGTTTATAATTAAAAAGTAATAAGTGATCTGATTCGGGTTAACCCGGTCCAGTTTTCCAACAGATAACAGATGGTGAGGATGCACAATATACATTTGGTCGAAGCATTAATTCAAGTCATTCTTAACTTTAACCCCTATCCACTGTCCTTCAGGGTTTGAACCAACCGAAAACAATGAAAAGAACAGAATTCCTTTTGTACGTGCTAACGTGCATGGGTTAACTATTTGGGCTACGGAAATCAAACCCATTCATGAGAGCAGGCCCTATAACTTGCCACGTGTCATGTCTTTTAGAAATAGAACCCACTATTGGATGGGTCTCATTTTTAGCTTGAATATAAAAAAAATTATAATCATGTGATTTTAGTCCGGACCCATTTAATGGTGAATTCCAATCCTTGAAATCTTAAGGGCTCTTCCAGAAACAAAGAGAAACATGTGGACTTAAACATTATAAGAATTTGGGAGATTATAATAACTCAATTGTGAGCTTCCAACTTACACGTCCCAATACAACAAAATAATGATTCAATTCAATTACTAAGATCCTGTTCTGTAACTTTTTTAGTTCAAGAAAAGAAAAAAGGGAAAAGTACAAGTAGGCTCATTGTAGAAATCTGAACACCAGCCCAGTCCATACAGAATTTACAATTACTCTTGAATTCAACTTTTGAAATTATAAGATCGATTCCCACGCCATGTAAGCATCACACTTTTACCTAAGTTTTTCCTGTGACGTGGCAATCCAACTCGGATTACATGTCACAATAACATTTATTTAAAATTTTATTTTGAAATTTACCCTTAAATTGCAAAGACTAAAATGACCCTRTTAGGGCCCACGACCATTGTTCTCTCCCGCCCTCCCTGTTCTCTCACACTCGCAACTCTCTTCTCTTCGACTATAGATGACTGAACTTCGGTTGCTCCCCATCTCTCCCGTTCTCCCTCCTCGCTCTCACTCTATAACTCTCTCCCGTTCTCCCTCTGTCTCGCCCCCATTCTCTCTCTCTCCTCGTCTCCCTCCCCCTCTATCGCTCTCCTGCTCTCCCTCTGTCTCGTTCTCCCTCTCCCTCTGTCGCCTCCACTTTCTCCCGTTCTCGCCCCCTTCAGTCTTGCTCTCCCTTTGTGGCGCCCTCACCCTCTCCCTTTATCAGTCTCTCCCATTCTTCCTCTATCTTGCCGCCATTCTCTCTCTCTTTCCCGGTCTCCCTCCCCCTCTATCGCTCTCCTGCTCTCCCTCTGTCTCGTTCTCCCTCTCCCTCTGTCGCCCCCACTTTCTCCCGTTCTCGCCCCCCTCAGTCTTGCTCTCCCTTTGTGGCGCTCTCACCCTCTCCCTTTATCAGTTTCTCCCATTCTCCCTCTGTCTCGCTACCATTCTCTCTCTCTCTCTCTCTCTCTCTCTCTCTCTCCCGGTCTCCCTCCCCCTCTATCGCTCTCCTGCTCTCCCTCTCATCTGTTCTCCCTCCTCGCTCTCACTCTATAACTCTCTCCCGTTCTCCCTTTGTCTTGCCCCCATTCTCTCTCTCTCTCTCTCTCTCTCCCGGTCTCCCTCCCCATCTATCGCTCTCCTGCTCTCCCTCTGTCTCGTTCTCCCTCTACCTATAAATTTTTAGGTAGCATTGTTGCTTTTTTCACTTCTATTCCTGTCTCAATTTATACCAAATGAAGGTCCATCTTAATTGTTTTTGTTTCTTGCACAGCATTTGTCACTAATCCATCATTTTGTTTGCCTTATCCATCAGACTAAAGTTTTGGCCAATACATTGAGGCCTTCCCTAACCGGAGGAAAATATCATTTTGAACACTTGTTTCACTAATAGGTATTTGACAATTTCTTTGTATGATATTTTAATTTGTTATAGTCAATCAAAAAGTCCTTTCAAATAAATTTGATTTTTGGTTCTCTTTACATTTCTATCACAGTAAATAGGCTGTCGTTTTTATATAAAAAAAATTTGTTAAGTTGTGTTTGATGCTGATTCATTCTTGTTGAATGTGCATTGGAGAACGAGTGTACATTAGTTTACACATGGAAAAGAAGATCAAGCAAGTATGTGTTTGTAAAATTTCTTGTATGGATGGTCAATTTACTTTGGTTATGAAAATGTTTCTCCAAAATTAAGATGATAGTTTAGTGATAATTACTCATAACAAACATTAATAATCACATATTGTTTTGTTGTAGACTCTAGGAGGGTGTTTGCCTTCTCAACATGCTATTCAAATTCCTCTTATAAAGAGCTAAATTCAGTTAATGAGAAACATTAGTTTGTAAGTTGAATGTCCTCAAATCAAAGATAGTAATTAGGTGATGGTTACTAGGTTGGCACATTTGGCACCTTATTTTCCAAGGGGCCAATAAGATTTGTTTTTTTTTTGTTGTTGAAGAATAAGATAAAATTCATTAGGAAAAAATACATTAGGATGGTGATAATCCATAAAAAAATTCCAAAAGCTCAACTTTGATCTCACATATCCCATACTAATACCCGTAGAACCGAATGGCAAAATCTTATCATATTTTCTCTAAACAACCTCTATCATAGTCCAAGAAACAAACCAAAATATTCCTTTATTGTCACAAGATCTAGCTACACTTAACCAAATATTCCTTAACCAATATGTGTAGCAGTCCACATTTAATTCATTACCTAGAAATATTAAATCAAACTGCAAAAAGGGTGATGGATATTTGGTTCTTGGTTAAGTGTACATCTTAACCAAAAGCCCTTGAGATGTCACCCTTGAATGCTCTGTGTACACTTAACCAAAAGCCCAACTTTGAGAAAAGGTGAAGTATAATGTGTTAACTGAAAAAAGAGTGTGTATGGCCCTCTCCCCCTCTGTACAAAAAGTTTTCTACATGTTTTTACCCCTCAAAATTTTATTTATATCTACCAAGAACATCCTTGGATTTTAGCCACTTCTAATCCTGAAGTTTTTTTTTGAGTACTCCACTTGGGCACCCATTTCAGAAATTATCAAAAGTCCAAATTGCAACTAATCGGCCATTCATCCTTCAGGAATTAACTAATAAATGCACCATCAACCTACACTGCCCAATCAAGAAGTGTGGACTGCATCACTAAATTAGGGGCCATTGCTTGGTGCAATATTAAAATTTGAGGCTGACAAGCATAAGATGGGTTCAAGTCTAAGAGTAGTCACCATGTACCAAAAAATAAAAGCCAAAAAGTTGGCTCTGTATCCAATCTACCACTACCAAGTTGTTGAATGATTCCAAAGAGAGCCTTTATATATATGTAGGAAGCCTATAGTTGAGTTTGGTTTCTTTTAGAAAAATTAATTCATTAATTA